CTCCGCGGCCGCGCTGGGAGGAAATCGCGCAGCGAGGCAGCCCTTAGGAGCGGCCCAGATCACCTCCAGCGGGAAGCCGGGCCTGCCGTCCTATGTAAGGCCTGCGAGCTGGGCCCCGGGTTTAGCTAGTGCTCTGCCCCCGCAGGCCCCGGGCTCCCCACCAAGGTGACACAGGCTGCGGTGCCTGGCCCTGCCAGGGCCCCTGGGTGAGCCGGGGAGGGCTGTGGCCCTTGACAGGCCCTGTAGTTCGTCTTGCATCTCATTCTGGTGCCTCTTTTTCCCAAGGGGGGTTGTTCTGGCTGGCACCGGTTGTTGTGCCAAGACACTCTATACTCAAAAAACCGGTGGCTGTGACTTCAGGTGACTTGCCCAGCCTCTGTTGTGCGATTGTGTGGGTGTGACCTTGGGAACAGGAGTTATAGGCAGGTGCACAACTGTCCTAAACCGCAGGTGGCTCTGGAGATAGTAAGGCAGAGAAAGAGAAGTGCGTCCTTTGCACCTTCTTAACGTTTCTTGCTTGGAATTTGAAAAAGCTTGTGTTTGGGATTGTCAACTTCTGTGCCTAGGTATGGTTGACATAAACTAACAACTGAAGTCTTGAGGTTTCAGATATACAGTGTTTCTGGATGCGTTAGCAATATCAAAAGTGGTCACAAACTGGACATAGTCTTTTTCCTTGCATTGGGAGGAAACCAATGCAAGGAAACACTGAACCAAACACGGTTGCAGGTGTGTAGGGGGAGAGCACCCATTGGATGAACTGAAGATGAAAGTGAAGGAAGAGGGAAGATCCCAGCCTTTAAATTTCTATTATATGTGCTCATTATATCTTCAGTGAAAAAGACTGAGTGCAAAAAATGACAAAAAGATAGCTCTATCTGTAGTCTGTTTCATGTATTGTCCCCAAAATTTAGTAGCTTAAATGACTGTTTTTTCCTCGGGTTCTGTTATTCCTTCTGGCACTGTGATGTTCAGGATCCCAATACTCTGTGCGGAAGTGTTGCCAGTTAAAGAGCTCATTCATAAATGGCCAGACATTTTCTGTCCTTGCTACATGCTGCCATGCAGTTGGCTGTGCCCGATATTGATAGCTGGGAGACTCTCTGAAGCAGGCGCAAAATGCCCAGAGCAGCGTGTGCTGTCTGGAGCAGTACGCTAAAGGCCATTGTCTGAATTCCTTGGCCTCTGTTCAACAGGTAAGAATGGATCCTGTATAGGCGCTTTTAAAACAGGGCGGCATCCTTGCAAGCATATCCCTTCTGCACTGCAATAAAGACTCAGTACTGCCAAGATGTGATGAAAGTGATCTGGGAAGTTGTTTGTGTGATTTCTGTTGCAATCTTTGTAGCTTTGCTTATCATTTAAAAAAAAAACAAACAACAAACAACTGGAAAAGCTGCTGAAGCAGCAGTAATTGATACTTGGGCTATTTTTAATCTCCTCCTTGATCTTCCAAGTAATTGGTAACAAATAAAAACAAAAAACCAATGCATATGAGTTCATTCTACAGTATATAAATACATCTTTATCTTTTGATCTGGACAGATCTGGCGGCCAATAACTGCGACTTTCTTCTTCCCAGTGGGACCTGGAACAGGATTTCTCTACTTGGTGAATTTGTATTTCTTGTATCAATATTCATCACGATTAGAAACAGGTATGTTATCCAGTAAAGTGTATGCACATGGTGAACTCTGCCCGGAGTTTATGATAGAGACTAAGCATTGTCAGATAGAGCTTCTTTTGGGAGTGGTTGTGGCGATGGGGTTGTGACTGATTCAGACAGAATTGTGAGAAAGATGGCTCATCTCTGTGCCCACTTATGTTGGTCAATGGGAAACTGCTCTGAAAACTGATTTTCTGTGACTGGCTCCTTCCCTTCGGCAGGGAGCCTGTTCCTTTAGGATCTGAACTTGATACTTCTTTCAGTAGGAAGGCCTGGTGCTTTTAGTTGTTGGATTTCAGGAAGTGAGGGAGAGAGGCTAAAAGATGATGTTACCTCTGTTTTCTTGTGTCTGATGTCCTTTTACATGGAAGGATGATAGAACATATGTAATAATGTGTATATCCATGTTGAGAAAATAACAATGTCAGTTTTTCCTTTTTTTAAAAGGCAATGATGCTTACCTGTGTTATTCTATTGGTTATGTTGAATTGAGAGATACCTTGGACAAATGAAGTGTACCCCTCTGTCAAATAGAAATGTGAAAAAGTTAAGGAACTAGTTGGATTTTCAGTTGGGGGAAAAAATTAAGAGTGGAAGAAAGGAGATCAAATAATGGATCACTTCTCTCAGAGATTGTTGTTAGGTGTCTTCAAAACTGGTTTCATTTTGCATTGCACAGTTCATTAAAACTAAACAAAAATTGTTTCAGTTGAAGTAAATAATTAAACTATTTGCAAAGCTGAGCTCCTCCTGAAAGCCTTAATGAACAAGAATTTCTGTGTAGTTCTAATGGAGTCTTAGAACTGATGGTGTAAGTGGAAATGCATTGCAAGGAGATGTTTGGGAAGTCCCGTGATAGAGATCCCTGGTAAACCTGTCATCCAGAGGGTACTGTGGAATCCCATTTAAGTCATAAGAAGAGTAGCAGGGAAAGGGAGGATTTGTGCCAGATAGTATTTGGTTGTCTTCTTAGTGAAAGTAAGTAGCAGTTTAATAGCTAGAAACGGTTCCGCCTTCTCTTTGGGCCTTCCTGCAGTAGATTATGAACTCATGAGTACTGGCAGTTACAACATTCTGCTGTGCAAAGCTATGTGTAGTAAGAGTTCCTGATTAATATATACAAATTATAAGACATCACTGCTTGTACATATACTTACAAGATGCTCTAGTTGTCTATGCTGTGGCAGAAGTCTCATGGAAGGAAGTCGATTCTTTCAGTAGTAAATTTACATTCCTGCTATACAACACATCTGGATTTTGAAACTGGGAAGTCAGCTGTGGTGTTGTTTGAATCAATGCATTTTATATTACAGTCATTTTTCTGGATATAAATTAAGTTCTTGGTTAGGTCAGTCCTTCCTCTCTATGGAAAAAGGCTTGAATCCTTCTGAAAGTGGGAGGTGTGTATAAGTTGCTGATAATATGTTTACAGGTGGAAATCAGTGTAGGTCTATGCCTCCTTTTGTCTGTGAAACTGAGAAAGTGAAACGTCTATTTTCAGGGTTGTACACGGTTTTTGAGCATACGCTGGTGTTGCATGCTAGCTTCAAATTTAGCTGTCAAAAATATCCATATGGTTTTGTACTGTGCTTGTGCTTTCCTAACAAGCTGACCTCTAGCTTCCTGAGGAAAAGGAGATTGATGTGTTTTTGTTTTGTTTCTGTTGGAGAAGAACATAACAAATATCAACAGAGAAAGCAGAATATGCAGAGTTCACTCCCCAGCAGTACGAATGATGAGATTATGAGTCTGCAGCCCTTCCCCAATGACTGGATTATACCTGGGGCCCTACTGAAGGACCCAGTGGGCTAGAGCTCACCTTGCCCCTGTGCTGAGCTTTTTGGCAGCCTGTAGCTCAGTTTTCTTAGATATTCATTAGAAAGCCAACTTAAATAGTTTGTCTAATATTCTTGTTAGTAATCTCCTAGATAACGAGAAGTAAAAAACTTTAAGGGAATAATATTTGCTTTGATTTCTTCCTATTCTGGAGGAATTCCTGTGCTGGAGTTTCTACAGGGTTAGTCAGCTTCCTTTCTTTATTTGTTTCTATTTGTTGTATGGCAACAGTAAGGAGAAAACTCCAGTTTATGTAGTTCTCCAACTTTAAAACTTTCCAAAAGATTTTTTCAAAGGCTTTTTTTTTGTTTATTTTTTCCTGTCATGTAACTTGCATGGCTGAACTTAAACTTAAAATGACTAAAATATCAATTTTGTTTTACATAGGCTTGAGTTTCTGTAGTTATTCTAAAAATAGGTTTTCTTTCTTTAAATTTTTGGGGACATGTAAAATAGTTGTAGGAAGCCAAATAGTGCTAAAATTAAGCAGTGGCCTCCTTTCTAGGCATTTTGTTGTTTAATTATTAGCATGTAATTCAGCCTGTTTGTGGTGTGCTGTGTTTGTCACTGTGTGGTTTGGGTCTGTTTCAGCAGTATTCTCGGCTTTCCTTGCCTGCATGGAGCTATATGAAAGTTGATAGGAGTCTTGCTCAAATGCCGAGGTCCGTGCCAGCCTTTTACCACAGTTTGCAAACTGTGTACCCTCCTTGTCACATATGTTGTTTTTTCTGGAGTGTAAAAACTATCGTATCTCTTGAGTCTGACTAGGTGATGCAAAGAGGATGCAATTTGCCTATGTAAGGACTGGTTTTCACATGACTCGATCATTAAACTTGGTGTCTCTGCTTTTGCTGTGCAAGTGTATTTCCTTATTGTGTGCTTCTGACTGGCAGCTTCTTGTGAAGGATGGGGTCCAACTCCATTTTGAAGTCTTGTGAAGTTAAAAATCATTTATCTCCAGAGTTTAAGTGTGTTCTTTGAGTAGGACTGCTGTGTGTGCCCTTAATGCAATAGGCTGAATGTCTTCTTTTTTGGTCCTGTAGGTTGTTCTTTTATAAGGCCTTTTAAAATTTAAAAAAAAAAAAAAAAACCAAAAACCACAGACTGCATGTAGGGCAACTGTTATTAAGTGAGCTTTTCTTAGACTCCTAAAAGTAAAAAAAAGTCCTAATTTCTTATCAAGATTTCAGTACCTTTCCTAACAATTCTTTTTATTTACAGGAGCTTTTGATGGAAGGCCAGCAGATTACATGTTCATGCTTCTGTTTAATTGGATCTGCATTGTTGTATCCTTCTGCTCATCATCAAACTTTTAGAATATTTTGGTTCTTCTATTTCTGCCTAAAATATGTTCAAAGACTAAGTTTTAGCAATGAACTGGTCAGGAATCTCATGAAGCTCAGCAAAGGCAAGTGCAGAGTCCTGCCCCTGGGGAGGAACAGCCTCAGGCACCAGCACAGGCTGGGGCTGACAGTCTGCAAAGCATCTTGGCAGAAAAGATGACCCCCTGCCTTGGTCAACACCAAGTTGACCATGATCCAGCAATGTGCCTTTGTGGCAAAGGTGGCCACCAGCCTCCTGGGCTGCATTAGGCAGAGCACTGCCAGCAGGTTGAAGGAGGTGATTACTCCTTTCTGCTCCGCCCATGTGAGACATACGGGGGGCTGCATCCAGCTCCAGGTTCCCAAGTACGAGAGGGACACGGACATACTGGAGTTAGTCCAGTGAAGGGTCATGGCGATGATTAAAGGGTTGGAGCATCTGTCACATGAGGAGAGGCTGAGAGCTGGAAATGGGACGAGAGAGAACAGGCACAAAATGAACCACAGAAAATTCCATTTAAATGTAAGAAAGACCCTTTTTATTCTAAGGACAAACACTGGCACGGGTTGCCAAGAGAGGCTGTGGAACCTCCATCCTTGGAGATGCTCCCATTCTGTCTGTACTGTTGCTACCTCCTTGTAGCAATTTGCAGTGGCACAGCATGTGGAAAAAAGGGAGTGGTGACATCAGTGTGAACCACATACAGGCAGGAAAGCTAGTATGTAGAAATGCTGTCGCCTTTATCAATAGATTAACTATCTCTAGTCACATTCCACTGTATGGAGGGATTTGCTATTCCTGCTAGTCCTGTTGAGCCACAGCAGTAACTAGGAGAACAACGAGGGTTTAGTTATGTTGTTAAGAAAACCATCAGCCTCATTGTGGTTGCAGGTTGTTGGCTGTAAGCTATTTGATGAATCTGATTGTGGCTTGACTTTCAAACTGGTCATTCAAAAGCTTCCAGTTGCTTGTTCCCTATATGATGTAAGAAGCAACCTGGATGCATGATCTGGGAAGATGCTTGGTGCCATTTTATACACATTCATGAACTGTTAAAAGCATTCTGATCACAGCAAAATTCTTCAGCAATTGTGTCCACTCAGCAGTTACTACCGCAAGTAGATCGTTTGGCTTCCAAGGTAGGAGAGTAGTATTAAAAGCCTGCATTGATGCACTTTCAAGAAATTATTTATTTTCTATGTCTCAGTGGCAATATATTGATTTTTTTTTTTTATGATCTGGTATTTCTTTAGTTAGAAACCCAACATTTTAGTCTTTAAAAAACTAATGAAAGAATCCAGCTGTTAAACCTGTAACATGCTTTTATGTAAGGACTGATTGTGTTTGTAGTTAGCAAGTTTCATCATGGAGGGAAGGCCAGCGCATCCGTCAGCCCTCAGGGTAATGACTTGAGGTGGTAGCTTGGAAGACTACTGAAAAGCAGTTATTGAAACTAAGTGTGTAAGTCTCTAGATCATTGGAGGTTTTTCATTTTTTTCCAGTGGTTAACTTAAAACAGTGTTCCTGTGTAATATTAATTTTAAACATTAAAGGCCTTTGCATGTGTGTTCAGTGTGTGGGTGCAGCTTCTTTTTGTTGTTCTAGTCTATCAGGTTTTGCTGCGTTTTCCTTAATGGTGTGATGACAGATAACTGGCTTGGCAATGGACATGCAGGTAAGTGTAGTGCAGTTTCTTAAATAATAAACTTATGGAACTTTCTGACTACTTAATGACTTTATAGAGAGCATTATCGGCATAACTGCAGAATGTAGTTAAGCTAGGCTGGTTTAGTTTATATCAAAATGGACTGCTGTGTGTGTATTGTTAGTTTTTTAGTTTGGGTTAGCCTCAGCTAACGTCACAAGCCTGTATCTGACTCTGCCACTCCCAACCTAGTTAAGGAGTCAAGGAGTGAGAATTGGCTCTTTGTGCAGTCAGGAATTGTTCAGCCTTTTACTAAAATGGACACAAGATGTCACCTATGCACTGTTTCCTCTAATGAATGGAGCTCTGCATTCTTACTTTTTTACCTAAAAATGGTTCTTGGGTTTGTTAGTCTTCTCAAATTCAGTGTGCCTTTTACTTGCCCACAGAAGATCTTTTTGTGGAAAATGCAGCTTTAGATCAGAACTATGAAGTTCAAAATCCTCACAAGAATGATTTAAAATAGTGGTCTAAAGAACCGGTTTCAATGAGGTAGTTCTTATCCCACCACATATTAAGAGGCGAAATGAGGGAGTGTTTCTTGGACACAACAGAGTATCAGATAACTGCATGTCTTCAGCCTGCCTCTGCTGTTCTCTCCTCATCTTGTTCTGTCCCCGTCACCCAAAGCCTGCACCAATATCTCTAATATTCTGTACAGTATTATCTTAGCATTTATTAGATCACTTATCAGTCTCACCCGGTAGACAAAAATAGCCATCATGCATCTGCAGTCAAGACTGAGTTCTGTTAAGGTCTGTCCATAACTTTGCGCTTAAACTTTTTTTTGCTGTGGGGAAGACACCACAAAACTCTTTTCAAAAGCGTGCTGAAGTCACCCATCCGTTTTATGAATTTCAGACTGATTGTGTTGATTTGTGTCTTTTTAAAAAGGTACTTAAAATGGGTTTATATCTGCATACAAAGTATTGTTTAAAAGAGAATCAGTTGTTTGATGTACAAATGTGTTTTTCTTAGAAAGAAGGTTTTTTTTGCTTGTGTTGAGTGACTTGCTTGAAAGTGAGAAGATAGAGTAGGATAGCTGGGCCTCTATCTAATTTCTGAAAGTATTTGACATGGGAATATTACTTTGTTTTTCTAGTAAAATAGAAATGGTTTTAATAAAGATCCTAAGGTTCTTGTGTGACGAGTCAGACTGCTGGTGCACTGTAGGGCTGGGGGAAGGCTGGACTGATGCCGGTGTGCCAGCTTTAACGTGGAACCTGTTAAATAGCAGCACCCCTGAAGGGATGAGTTTTAACCTCTCTTCCAAACACAAGAGCTGGTTTGTAGCATTAAACTAGTTCATGGAAATGTTGCTGACACAATCTGTCTTCAATTTAGAAATCAGCAGATAGCTAAAACAGTGCTTTATATTTGTTTCACTACAAATAGTCCAATTGGCTAATATACAGGCACAGTAAGGAGGTATTTGAAACAGTCTCATCTCTGGCATGGAGCACAGGTTAACTCCGAGCTCTACCAAGGTGGCTTTGCCAAGGCAGGCTGCGGTACTCTGAAACGGTGATTTACTGGTGCACCTTCCCTCTGTGGGGCTCTGAGGGGGGCATAGCTGGCAATTCATGGAGTAACACTTCATCCGGCGTATTAGCTTAGCCTCAGATGAGTGTGTTTGGGTTAGTGCCCTGGGTTGTGAATGGAAATGATTGTGGCACAAGTATGTCGCTGACTCTGCTGTAGGTGTGCTGCCAAGCAGCTGAGAGCAGAGGAGTTCACCACAGCTGCTCTTTCACTTGGTGCAAGTTGGAGCCCTTTGCTTTGGCATGGTCTTGCAAAAGAGAATGACCAAGTAGGTTCTGCTTAGCTTTCTCAATAGCTTTTGAACAGATCCATGACACATGATGGCAAAGATTCTGGGGCAATCTTTAAAGCTCCTGCTGCCTGTTTAAGTTTCTCGGGCTTCTGTGAATGTGTTGGTAACTTTTTTTTTTAAACATTGCAGTTGCTGATGATTCCACTCATCATGTCAGTACTTTATGTGTGGGCCCAGCTGAACAGAGACATGATTGTATCATTTTGGTTTGGAACAAGATTTAAGGTATGTCAGACAGAATATTGGAAAGGTTTCTGCCTCGAAGATGCACATGAAGGTGGTGAGGGGCAAAATGTAAATATTTTCTCTTATTAAAGGCGTCCCATGCTTTCACATAGCTATATACTCCTTGAGATGCAGCAAAGACAGATTTCTTCATGGTCTTCCATACAGTGTCACTCAGTGTGGCTTTACTGAAAAGATGTCCCGATAACTGAAATTCATCGGTCTGAAAAGAGGAAAAAATTCCTGATAGATATTAACCTGGATAAAAGCTGAATGTAGCGACACTGTAGTGACAAAATGTTGGTATTTTAAGTTGTCCTTTCCTGTGCAATCTTGTCTGTTTCTGCCAGGTCTTGCAGTGAAAACTCTTTTGATCATTGTTTCCAGACCTTTTCAAAATCAGAAATATTAGGACTTTGTTTCAGATGTAAGCTTGCTGTGGAACATAGAGTGTGAAAGATGCATCTACTTATAATGTCTAAATGAGTATGATTTGTCTAAAAATGTTAGTGGTCGCTCAGTTTGAAGTATCCTACCTTGTTAGGTAGAATCTGCTTAAGTTAATATATCAGGATTTGTGTAATGCCTAAAATATTGAGATTATAATCATGCTTATTAGTGCAGTGGGAAGTTGAGCAGGTTAATGTCCTTAACTTGTACTTACTTCTCTCTCCATTGTGTTCTTTTTCAGGCCTGTTACCTTCCATGGGTTATTCTGGGATTCAACTACATCATTGGTGGATCGTACGTATTTATGTATATGGCTAATTTGAAGTTATAAAAGCTTTTACAGCTATTGAACTTATTGCTGAATTTAGAAGCAATATTAAAATAAGAGGCTTAAACCTGTATAATGTGACTGATAATGCTCAGTGTCACATGGTGGTCATTTAAGATAAAAGCAAAGAGGCGATGTGCATGTGAGAACTAGAGAATGTAGGTGAGGGGGGAAAAGTAATAAGAATTTGGTTTATTTTCTAGTAAATCTATGCGTTAGGCCTTTTCCTTACTAAAAGAGTAATGCACAGTAAAGAAAGAACTAGAGAATGTAGGTGAGGGGGGAAAAGTAATAAGAATTTGGTTTATTTTCTAGTAAATCTATGCGTTAGGCCTTTTCCTTACTAAAAGAGTAATGCACAGTAAAGAAAGATCATAGTTTGGGTTGGAAGGGACCTCTAAAGGGCATCTAGTCCAACCCCCCCTTGCCATGGGCAGCGACATCTTCAACTAGATCAGGTTGCTCAGAGCCCTGTCCAACCTGACCTGGAATG